TGATGTAGAGAGCATAATTGAGATTGAGAGGAGATTTAATACAATAACTTCTAATAATAGATATCATAACTTGAACAAAAGTAGAGATGGATTAATGTGATTTGTGTAGCATTAGTAATAAATGGATTTAATTTTTTTACTTAAACTAGAGAATTTCATATAATATAATGTATATTTATCTATTTAAATTTACATGGAAACATAGTAGATTAATAGGGGAAAATAAATTTGCTATAACTTAAGAAAATGTATCAAATAAGATATGAAATCTCATTGTTACATGAGTAGTAACAATTTGAAAGCCTAATAATCTGAAAACTATGTTGGTTGGCTATGGTAAAGTTAGATACCTTAATACCTCATATTTTAGTTATCTTTATTTTAATTGTTATTTTTTTATTGTTTTTAATTAAAATTTATTCTTTTTTGATTGTTCAAATAAATCTACAATTAATTATTTTCAATACTTAAGTTAATTACAATTCTTGTAGATTTGACACTTTACTTATCATTATAATACTTAAAGCAACTAATGCACTTATTAGAGTGATTTTAATGTATCAAGTTTCTAGCATCATTTCTTAGAATTGTTGAATTTAATTAATATCGAAACTGATTAATTTTATATTTGATTTGAGCATTTTTCTTGTCTTTTATTTTCTTTACTTTGATTTTTTTTTTTTTTTGCCTTTGTTTTCGTTTCTGCAACCCCTAATTATGTATCAAGTTGTCATAGACATTGATATAAATTATCAATGTTTTGCCCCAGCGTTAAGAGTAGCAGTTGAAACAATAACTATTAATTGAGAAGCAAAACTCGACGATGATGAACTTGAAAGAATTCAAGAATCATTGAAAGGATCAAATTAAAGAAACCTATAATAAAACAATTTAACATCACTTGTTGATCATGTGAAGGAGAAAATTTTAGTTTTGATTGCTAGTTTAAACCATCTAACAAGCATGTTGATTTTTCTTGTGATTTTTATAGCCAATAATATAATTTTTATCCTAAC